TGGAATATTGAGCATAAACCTCCACTCATCATCATTATCAGATCAAGTTTCGTAATCAATTTTCGTGCAAATTGAAGTTGGATATTGGAGCGTAAGTTGGAAGCACTTATTCTGAGCAATTCGGATTCGAAGTGTTCGATCTTCATCTTCTTGCAAGAATTATTGTGGATCTTGAAGTTTTCCGTCTAATCTTGTTAGGATCTTTGCAAATTCACTTGATCAACGATCACCGGATCTAATCCCCTATCCGTAGGTTGGTTTTCCGATTTAATTTAACCATTTGATTGTTGTTTTAATTTAATGGCATTAAAATTCTGTTTTGTGTGCTGTTTGATTTTAATTCATATAAAATATAAAGAATGCTTAGAAAAATATGAGAAAATTCGTGGATGATCCTTATCATGTCTATGATCTTTGTGTGCAATTGGATTTTAGTTTCGTTTAATTTTCAATTTGATTTAGTTTTTCTCCTTTAGTTGGATAATAAAATGCCAAAAACTGCATAGTTTCTTGCCGATTTTTGTTCTGGAGTTTGGTATAGAATTTGGACTTAATTATTTGCTGGTTTGTTATAGACATATTAAGGAACTACAAGAAATTTTTAGGATAATTTTTAGATAGCTTTAGGTTCTGTTTTGAACTAGATCTTTAGAGGCTTCCCCACTTGATTTCCCTTTTGACCACTTTTGGTGTGTGATTTCTTTAGTTCCTTTAAGCATAGTTTTAGGCTCTGGCCTTTCTACTATAGATACCTAGCACATGTAGGATCCCTTAGAAAAATTTATAGGATTTTAGAAGTAGTTTTAGTATTTTAAATAGATTTAATACTTATACTGTTCTTATGATGCTTCTAACATAGCACTTCCCCTAGTTGATTTTCAATGGTAACCATTATTGCATAATAAGTCTCTAATCTCTTTTGGTGATGTAATAGACATGTTTAGGCCTCTGTAGAATTAATTGTAGAAATTAATTTGGTGTTTTGATCCCCTTTTGGTAGCTTCCTTGAAGCTAGTAGGAATTAGGGTTTAGGAAGAGCTTAGTTGTTCTCTCTTTTTTCCAAATAAACATGGATTGTTTTGATTGCTTTTCGTTCTCATCCTATGATTCAAGGTCCCTATGTGAAAGCCTCATCTTTACTTTGGAAGGATGTGTGGCATTTTACAAGAGGTAGAACCTTTGAGGATTCCTTTCTCTGATGACTGGTTGAGTGTCAGGAGGGATTCCCTTGGTTTCCTTCCTGCTTCCCATCATCCATCCAATATTCTTGGTGTTGTTCCTTTTCTCTTGTGTGGGAGCTTGTTGGAGCATAGAGATGAAGACCTCTCTTGATAGATTGGTAAGTAGATAGAAGCCTCCTTTTATAACCCTTGTATCTTTAGGATAGATGTCCTTGGAAGGTACCAATGTGGTTTCTTTAGAAGCTTAAATAGGTGGATGATTCTTCCTATAGGGGTAGTTTCCTCTTCAATTTTTCCTTGCTTGATTGGAATCCCCCTTGTGAGCAATTTTTCCTCCCGTGGAGGAATACATTGCACTATCATAAAGGGGTTGAGTCCATGAAAGCTCCCTCTCTCTCTAAAGGAAATGAAGTTGGTTGAGTGTCTGTGGTAAGTTCCTGTGGAACTTACCTTGCTTCTCATCTCCATTCTCCTAAAATTTTCTTGCTCATTTCTTTCTAGGAACTTCTTTAGTTAGAATAGTCCCTCCTGTGGGGGAAATGTTGCACACCTCTTGAAGGAGCCAAACCCTTAGGATTCCCCCAAAATCTCTTAGTTGGTTGAGTGCTTGGGATAAGTTCCTGTGGACCTTACCCTGGCCTCCCAACACCCAATTTCTTTCCTTAGGATAGATGCTTGTATGATTACTTGTGGAGTGAATCCATTATTTTCCATAAGTCCTTTTCCTCATTCATTGATTTAATTGCTTGTTGCATTAGGATAATGCATGATTAGAATAGTTTAAGCTAGGAGCATGACTGCTTAGAGGTTGAGTGAGTCTCCCTCTGCTTGTTTGCATTAAGGGTTGAGGTGATCCTCCCCTTGCTTGTGTGTTGTTTTTCTTTTTCTACTTGACGTATTTGCATAATAGAGGTTGAGTGAGCTCCATCTGCTTGTCTGTTTTGTCTGTTTTTCTTTGCTTGATTGCTAAGAGGTTGAGCGGGTCTCCCTCTGCTTGTATTGCTGCATTGCATATGCATCTTTACTGTATGTCTTTTTATTGTTTAAGCTGATACTTCATCTGTTTCTGTTTACCATTGTCATGATCCCTTAGGAATCTCACTTCCTTTGATAAGGGAGTGATGATTTATACTTTAGGATTGAAACCTATGCATGATAACTTCTAGGAGTTCCCTGTTTCGAACCTCAACCGTAGGATGAATCCTTGGCATGACAACATTAAGACTTGATAGTCTCCCCATAGAGTTCGTTCTCTTCTCATCTCAAAACAAATTAAAATACAATAATAAAGGTTAACTGACTTCGTACGTTACGAGCCTTAAGCTACCTGAGAAAGAGTTGTTGGAGAGTTTCTTTTCAACAGCTTGGATGTTTAGTATGGTACCCTTTGGGTGACATGCGACGCATTCACTCTCAGGTCATAGTCTCTAGTACGATATTGGTTGCAAACATCCATAAAAAACAGCTCTTTCGTAAAAGACAGAAAACAAAGTTCAAACCTTTTTGCCCCGTGGGCCCGTAATTCAAAGGAAGCTTTTCTGAAGAAAAGAGTGTTGTTAACTCCCCGTTCTACCGCAAACGGTAACGCCTAAGTCTCCAAGGGTCGAGCTGCGTACACCAAACTGCTAGAACTGTCTGTTAACCCTACTCGAAAAAACAGATGAATCTGAATTGCCGTAATTCGTATTATCCCGAACTACGTAAGCTCTGATCTCTTAAGCCTGTTGAGAGTACGTAGGCACAATACTGATGTATTAGCGAGCCACCTTCCCCCTTCCGTAACCCGTAGCCAGCCGAACTATGTTGACTCTGATTTCTCATTCTCTGATGAGAATACGTAGGAATAAAGTGCGACGCTTTGCCGAGTCATTTTCTTTTCTTTTCAGACCGGCCTTGATAGGTAGATAGTAAATAAACCCGTCAGATAAACACAACAAGCGTGGATCCCATCGAGTACGTTGGACGTGAGGCGTGCTAATACCTTTCCCTTGCGTAACCGACTCCCGAATCCAGACATTGGTTGCGATGACCTTGTCTTATACCTTTTCGTTAGGTTTTTCCGATCGTTTCCTTTTCCGTTCTGAGGGATAAATAACGAAAGGTGACGACTCTTCTGTTTTGCCGGCACCTTATTTTTGCGGTAGCGACAGGCTTCCCACCCTAGTTGTCAAAATGTCATTTTGGAGGTTTGAAGAACTAGAATGGTTGGTTGTCCTATGTTCATCCTTCAAAAGAAATTACATATTTTGAAAGCAAAGTTAAAAGAATGGAATAAATGAACCTTTGGTAATGTTCAAAGACATGGTGAAGGTTGTTGAAGTAAATTTGTGCAGCATCCAAATGGATAATGAGGTTGATGGTCATACTGATACTAATAATGCTTTAAAGAAGCAAGCCCAGGCTCAGCTTGATGAAGCTCTTCGTCTTGAGGAATTATTTTGGAAAGAGAATGCTAGGATAAAATGGAATATGGAGGGTGATAGAGACACCAACTTTTTCCATAGAATCGCTAAGATCAAGCAATCTACAAAGAGAATTTTAAGCTTGAAAGTGGAGGGTGTGGTCCTCACGGATCAGGATCAGATTGCTGACCATGTCTTTAGCTACTATAAGGATCTATTTAACAAGTTTTCTGTTTTGCAGGATGATAATTTGATTGAAGATGTTATCCTCTTGATGATGACGGATGAAGCCAATAACACTTTGACAATGCTGCCAACTCTGGAGGAAGTTCACAAAGCTGGTCTAAGTCTTGACAAAGACAGCGTTCCTGGTCTTGACGGATTTGGAGTTTCTTCTTTCAATCTTATTGGCATATTATTCATATAGATGTCTTCAATGTTGTTTTGCAATTTTTTCGGGATGGATGGATATCTCCTAATAATAATTCAAATCTTTTGATCCTTATTCCCAAAGTTCCCAATGCTATGTCAATTGAGCAATATCGGCCCATTTCTCACTCCAATTTCAAACACAAAATCATTACAAAGATCATTGCCGACAGATTATCTTCTATCTTACCATTTGTTATCTCGCCAGAGCAGAAAGCCTTCATTCCTGGTAGGAGTATTAGAGATTGTATCGGTGTCACGTCTGAGGCTATTAACCTTCTGAACAACAAGAGTCATGCAGGGAACTTAGCACTGAAAGTTGATATTTCAAAAGCTTTCGATACAATAAGTTGGAATTTCATTATTAAAGTGCTTAAGGTTTATGGTTTTTCTGAAAAATTTTGCAATTGGATTCTCTACATCCTGCGTTCGGCATACATTCCAGTTTCTATCAATGGTTCTCACAGAGGTTTCTTTGCTTGTACGAATGGCGTGCGACAGGGTGATCCTCTTTCCCCTCTCCTTTTTTGTTTGGTGAAAGATGTTTTAAGTAGGGGTATTACTAGCTTAGTTACAAACAAGAAGCTGAAGTTTATTAAAGCGACGAAGAATACCACAATTCTTTCTCACGTGTTATACTCAGACGACATTATGGTCTTCTGCAAAGGTGATGACAATTCAATTCAGGCTATGAAAAATCTGTTTCAGAGGTGTGTAATGCTTTCTGGCCAGCATGTCAACCTTTCAAAATCTATTGTTTATGCCGGGTCAGTTTTGCATTCTAGGCTGTTGAATATTGCTCAATCTTTGGGCTTCTCCTCTGGTACAGTTCCGTTCGTTTACCTTGGAGCTCCAATTTTCGTGGCAAGCCGAAACCTATTCATTTTCAGTTTATTGCTGACAGAATTCGTTCAAAATTGGCAGCCTAGAAAGCAAGTCTTTTATCCATTGCAGGCAGATTCTTTTGGTTAAGTCTATCATCCAAAGCATGCTTCTTCACACGCTATTGTTTTTTCCTTGGCCCGTTTCTGTCTTTAAAACTATTGAGCGCTGGATTCAGAATTTTATTTGGGAAGAAGATATCGACAAAAGAAAATTAGTTATCGTTGCTTGGCATAAGTGTTATCAACCTTTTGCGGAAGGTGGTTTGGGTATTAGATCTTTGTTATTTCTGAATGACGCTTCAAATCTCAAGCTCTGTTGGGACATGTTAAATTTGAAGGATCAATGGGCGGCAATTATTCGGCAAAGTGTTATGCGAGGAGGAAGGCACATCAACTACATCATTTTCTATTCATTGTGGAGCACTATGAAGGGCTCTTTTGCTGATGTCAAAGATGATTCAACTTGGATTTTAGGCAATGGCAAGAACATTCATTTTTGGCTTGATAAATGGGAAGGTTCTGTGGCTGTAAATAACTCAGACTTCAATTTTCACAAGCAGGACTTCCTCAATGACAGAGTTGCAGAATATATCTCTAATTGTAAGTGGAGTTTTCCTCAGTGTATTACAACACGTTTTCCTTCCATTTATAACCTTCTTTAACATTCACATTCCGATCGAGGATAAGGAGGATGCTTCTATTTGGAATCTGACTGATGTTGGAGAACTCACTATTAAAGCTGCCTATTCTTTCATACAGAAACCTTCCCCAACTTGGAAGTGGGAAAGTTAATTTGGAACACCTTCATTCCTCCTGCCAGATCTCTGCTCTTTTGGAGATTTTTTCATCAAAAAATTGCATCAGACGAAAACCTTGCCGCTAGAGGGATTCACTTTCCTTCGATGTGTAATTTTTGTTTGGCTCACATGGAAACCTCTGAACACATTTTTTTACTGTAACTTTGCTAGTAATATCTAGGGACACCTTTCATCTATCATATCGCATAACATTTGATCAATTGATGACTGTTGGGAGGTCTTGCAAGGAAATTTTTCTGCTCAATATAAGTTGGTTGTTTTGGCAGCAATTTTGCACAACTTCTATGTCATATGGAAGGCTCAAAACAATCTTAGATTCAATAACATCATAAGTTATTGGAAGACGACTTTCATTGCCCTGAGCACTGAGGTTTCTCGTGTGGGTAACGCATCTACTAAAACAAGTTAGATCTCTAATTTGGATTACAATATTTTTGTTGGTTTCAATGTGAAGTTAAACTCTCTAAAATCTTGTATTATGAAAGAATTTCTTTGGCACCCTCCTATTCTAGATTGGGTGAAGTGTAATATTGATGGTGTAGCTGTGGGAGTTCCGAGTGTCGCTGCTTGTGGTGGTATTTACAGGGACTATAAGGGTAATCACTTTGGCAGTTTCTCGATGTTTATTGGGGTTAGAAATACCCTCATGATATAGCTTACGACTGTCATAGTGGCTATTGAGATTGCGAAAGACAAAGGCTGAAATAATCTTTGGTTAGAAACTGACTCGAAGCTGATTGTTCATGCGTTTAATAATCCTTCTTTGGTCCCTTAGAAACTTCGTAATAGATGAGGGAATGCCTTGCATCATACTAGGTCCATATTTTTAGGTTACACATATTTTTAGGGAAGGTAATTGTCATATCCTAATTTTTGACCTTAAGATTCTGTTTTGCATCATCTTCATAGCATATCATGCATTTCATCTTGCATAGTGTCTGAAATCTCAGTCAGAAAAAATTTGTTGGATTTACAGACAAACTGGTCTAAATTTATTTCAAAATCTGACCAAATGCTGTATTTTTCAAATATGTTTATTTTGCGCTATTTATTTTGGCGTGTTCATTTTATTTTTTCGAGCACTTTTCTGTCCGATTATTTATTTTATTTTTTAATTATTTTTATTTAAATAATTATTTAATTTAATTATATATTTAATATAAATTTTTATTTTTATTAATTAATTTTATTTTTAATTTGTTTATTAATGTTTTCTTTTAAAACAACATAAAAACATAATTTTTAATTCTTTTTATTCTTGTCTTATCATTAAAAAACACAAAAATATGATTTTTAATTCTTTTTATTCTTGTCTTATCATAAAAAACACAAATATGATTTTTAATTCTTTTTATTCTTGTTTTGTCATAAAAAACACAAAAATGTGATTTTTAAATCCTTTTATTCTTGTCTTATTATAAAAAACAAAAAAAATATTGTGTTAATTGTTATTATCATTCTTGTCTATTTTCTAGTGCTAAAAAAAATGGTATAAAAAAAGAAAAAAAAACACTCATACCTCATCTTCCTCACACCCAAACTGCAAAGTTTTTCATAAACCACGATGTGTCATCGAGAGAAAGAGACATAGAGGGCAGTGACGCTAGGGAAAAGACCATTTGAGGGAGGTAAAATTGAAAACTCACCATTTATTTTGAAAAGCTGATGTTGTGTTGTATTTATGTTAATTTTATATTTGACTTTGTAGTATTGTTTATAAGGTCATGTTGTAGTGTTTTGCGTATATTTGTTGATGTAATTTTATTAAGTTTGTAATTTAAGAATGTGTCATGTCATTTAGCTAGTCTATGTTTGTTCATAAATTAAGCTATAATATTTTGTATTAAATTTATAATTGTTTATGTGTTACTAATGTGGGTTATTTGAGTTTATGACTTGTGTGTTGCTATACAAATTTTGTATATGTTGTTTGGACAATACATATTTGTTTTCTATGCGTAAATCTATTTGTATTTGCATTTTTTTGTAAGTGCATTTACGTGCTAATTGTTTTAATTGTACCAATGTGAATAATTCATTTAATTTTTTAGACTTTATTAGTTTATCTTTTAAAATAAATATTGCTAAGTTGTTGTCCTTTAGACTCTCATGTTTCCGTTCATTTGTAACAAGTGTGTGGATAGTTAAAGTGCATGTGCATATGAGTTAACAGCATGTCAAGTTATAATAAGGAAAATGTTTGTACGAATATTTTGAATGTATTTATATTGTATTACATGGTGTGGTTGCTCAAAATTTGATTCTTTTATTTTTATTTTATTTTATTTTTTTAATAATATTTTATTTTCCTTCTTTTCTTTTTTAATTGATTTTTCATAATTTAGAAAATTAAAAATATTTTTCTTGACTATTTGTTAATTGTTACATTTTGAAATTATTTTCTCTAATTAGTTTCTCTTTAATTTAATTCATATAATATTTCAAAAGTACCAAAAATATTTTAATTGTTTATTTTCGTTTTTTAGTTATTTAGTTATTTGTTGAATATTAAAAATATATATATAAATATGTTGCAATTATTAGTTAATATAAATATAAATATTTAAATTAATTAATAATTTCTTATTACACGTCCAAAGGAAAGAGCTTGTTCTTGACTTCATAGTCATGAACATCTTATTCATTTGCATCTTTTCCCTATGCTTGATCCTTGATTTTTTTCAGGTTGATCAGCTTAAGAGACACCACTACTACAAAAAAGTTTTTTAATAGCGCTTTTTTTGCTTTTTAATAGCGCTTTAAAGCGCTATTAATCAAGGCGCTATTGTAAAACAAAATTTTTAATAGCGCTTTAAAAGCGCTATTAAATACAGGTACTATAATAGCGCTTTTGAAAAAGCGCTATTATAGTACCTGTATTTAATAGCGCTTTTGAAAAAGCGCTATTATAAGTCACATATTTGATAGCGCTTTCAAATAAAGCGCTATTATAGCACCGTTAATTTGTTTTAATTTTGATAGCACTGTCAAACAAAGCGCTATTATAATACACATATTTAATAGCGCTTTCAAATAAAGCGCTATTATAAGACAAATATTTAATAGCACTTTCAAAGAAAGCGCTATTATAATTCACATATTCGATAGCACTTTCAAACAAAGCGCTATTAAAATACCTGTAAATTGCTTTAAGTTTGATAGCACTTTCTAACAAAGCGCTATTATAAGATGGTGTTTTATGGGATATATATATATATATATATATATATATATATATATATATATATATATATATATATATATATATATATATATATATATATATATATATATATATATATATATATATATATATATATATATATATATATATATATATATATATATATATATATATATATATATATATATATATATATATATATATATATATATATATATATATATATATATATATATATATATATATATATATATATATATATATATATATATATATATATATATATATATATATATATATATATATATATATATATATATATATATATATATATATATATATATATATATATATATATATATATATATATATATATATATATATATATATATATATATATATATATATATATATATATATATATATATATATATATATATATATATATATATATATATATATATATATATATATATATATATATATATATATATATATATATATATATATATATATATATATATATATATATATATATATAGCTGGACAATAAAACTACTGATACTACAATAACGCCATTTTGTAAAATAAAACTACTAATACTGTGTAAGAATTGTATGGTTATGTTTGTAAAATAATACCACACATAGTATCTATTTTTAATGCAATGTAATCAGTACAATATGTATGCGTTAATAATTCAAGTTGATTTTACACATATATAACGCCATTTTGTTATTTAGACATTTGTATAAACATTTTTAAAAAAATACATTTTTATATAATTTTTAAATTATTATTTCACATCTTAATAATATAAATATTATAAAACCAAATTTGATAGGACACTTGTGTCTATCCATCTATCCATGAAAACTAGTTTCATAAACAAAATTACAACACCAAAGAGAAAAAAGGTATTGTATCTTTGGCATACAAACAAGAACCAGTGCCCAAGCTTAAAATGTCCTTAAGATCTGATACCGGTAGAACACAACGTAAACTGGTCTAACAACTGTTATATCAGTACTCAGTTCATAAAAACTCAAAAAATACTACTACTACATCCGAGAAGACTTGACCTTCCAAAGAGAATATATATAGAAAAAAGTATCACCTCTGTGTAACCTATTGAAAGCCCCGTAGCGGAAGTTCCGTAGCGCACCCCACGACCCTGGATAATAAAATTAGAAGTCGGCGAACTGTCGAACTCCCACAGCTGTTGCACAGTGTTGTTTACTTCGTAGACGGTTGGAGCGATGAGTGTCAAATACACGAACTGCAGTGATAAAAACCATGTCAAAGACTCATAATCCATTTAAAAACGGGAGGCCGTTGGCAGCGAGAAAACTTGACATAAGAATTACACAACAATTGCCAGGAAATAACATACCAAATTTGCTGAAATAGCAACTCAGAATTGATTCCAACACCAATCTTCTCGCCAAAGCAATTCCAAGTAGAACTGTTTGTAAGAGCTTATAGGAATAGCTTAAGACATGTCCATAAGTTGTTTTCAACTAAATTCCATAAACTCTATAAGATAGTTTATGAAAATAGCATAGAAAACAGGAGAATTAGACATGATTCATCTATGTAGTCATAATTGTAGTCAAGATATAATTTTTGCTGAGTTCTCTTAGATTAAATCCCTCATATC